GGTGAGAAACGAATAGCAATATTGGCTTAGATTCAGGATCAGTCAAGAAAATGTTCTGACCCAGACGAAATCGAGTTCCTGTACACAGATAAAGTACTAGAATCATCGAAGATTGGGAGACCAGGGCTTCACATTTACTTTGAAGATTTCAAATTAAAAAAAAAATCTGGCTGCAATTTTTAAAACACTTGAATGGATTCCCAGGTTAAATATGCTGCGGAAGCAAGTCAACGAACCTTTTGTTTTCATTCAATAGAGCTCTGTAACTAAAGGTTCTATTTGAGGAACACTTTTCATCCTGCACAAACAGAAACACGAATTTGCCTTCCGGCTGTTCTTTTGTCACAATATTTCCCTGTACTCGCAAAATAATAACATAATAAGGTTTTTAATCATAGCAGGTTCTGCACAGCTATTCCACCATTTGCATCATTTGCACTCTATTCCATTTTCACCCGCTTATCAAAGGATAGTACGAACGCGCTCCGTCTGTGAAGCACCGCGAAGGGGAAAAAATCCTTTTATGTAACTTTCAAAACATGTTAAATCCAGCATGAAATAGGTTCAGCAAATTGTGCCGTGTACTGCATCAGTAGCATCAACAGTCGAAATGAGTTTTTTCTTCATGTTGGCTACTAGGTAGTTACCGTAAAACGGGGTAGCTTTGATAGTTTTTTTTTAAGTATATTCTTAATATTTTTTTAAGACAGTTAATGTACCAATGTCAAATACCGTAAAACGGGGTATCTTTGATAATGCGGCTAACTTTGATACTATTATATAATGACTAAATTAACCTTCTGCACTATTTCCAAATTGGAAACATTGGTTCCATTTTGTAGCTTAGGGTATTACCTTTGATAAAGTATAGAATTTGTACATAGTATGTGCTACATATTTCCTAAATATTTTAAAAAATAATAAATTTTCTTGTTTTTCGCCTGTTTGAAAAGGCTCTCATCAAATAAATTTCTGAATCAAATTTAAAACTGTGTTCTTATTGCTTATGATATTTCTGATTAAATCATTATTCAAAGTTCCATATTTTTTCAACATTAATCGAGTATTGTCAAAGTAACCCAAAAAAAACTGATGTCGGTCACAAGACAAAAAAAAAAGTACAAATGCAATAATTTCTGTTAAACATATAACTAACGAATTGACTCTACGATCTTCAGTACTTGTTAAAAAAATAAAATTTGAAAAACAAATATTCAGAATCTACTTAAAAAAAACTATCAAAGTAACCCCGTTTCACGACAATGAGGATCCTAGAGCCTACACGCAGGCAAAAGAACGTAAGAAGTCCATAAGAAACACTTATGAATTTTAGCCACAAGAAATCAGTATGAATTTCATTGATTTGCCTTATGAAAAATAATGTTGGCAAAAAAATAATAAACCGGAGCAGACTGGAACCGAACCATGGACGTTGAGATTACGGAGCTCGTGTGTTGCCAATCGTCTTTCAACGCTTAAGAAAATGGAATGGTTAAAGGCGTATAATAGCTACGTTATGTTAGACGAAAATCTTTCATAAGTCGCGATTATGAAATTCATATTTGTCGTTCATAAGTCGAGTTTTATGAAATTCTTAAGTCTATTTGCCTCAGTGTATTCGTAATTCAAATGTTCAAAGGAAACTATTGCACTTGAATTATTTTTTTTTGTCTTGTGACAGAACATCGCTTTAGAAAAACATGCGTGAATTACGCACAATAGCTCAAGAAATATTAATCTTCGAACAAGTAGGGGAAATGGCTCTAATGTTGGCCTATGGATCAAAGATTGGGCTTATCGCTAAAAATCTGCTATTTATCAATTTTATCTAGATAAACGCGTCATTTGGACGGTATCAATGGATATTTTTGTTCGCTATTGAAAATTTACTCGATTGCTAAAGGGGACTAAGTATAGGCCCAAATTAGGGGCATTTAGACCGACATTGCATCCATTTCCCCTATAAAATCAGAAAGTCATAAGCAATAAGAGAACCACATTTAAATTTGTGATGGCTTTATCGGAATTCTTTTCATAAATGATTCTGTGAGTGCCTTCCTTAGCTCAGACGGTAAAGGCGCAGCTACAAAGCAAGCCCATGCTGGAGGTTGCTGGGTTCAATTCTCGGTCCGGTCTAGGAATTTTTCGGGTTGGAAAATTTCTCGGCTTTCCTGGGCATATAGAATGGCTGTACTTGCCGCACAATTATACTAATGCAAAAATGGCACAGGCATCGAGAGCTCTCAATAAATAACTTTGGGAGTGCATCTAGAACACTAAGTTGAGGGCACGCTAACATGAGATAAAAATTAAGCTTGACATGCGAAGAAGAAGAAGATGAAGTTGAGTGCCTTTTCAATCAGGCGAAAAACAAGAAAATATATATAATTTTTCCAATGTTTCCAATTTGGAAATAGCGCATTATCAAAGATACCCCATTTTACGGTACTTCTTTTAGCAGCGGTAGGTAGGATACATTTGAAATCGTACTTCTCTGCTGGAGTAGAGCGTTCCCGGTCGCAAACGGTTGACGCAAAGAGCACCGAAATGTGCACCCAAATCAAACGAAAAATGCAGGAAATGCAATTAAATACTAAGGATGTGCTTGTACTGACGTTCTTATATCTTCTTTACACACCTGTATGATAATCTTGCATTGCCCGGTTTGGTGTTCCTGCTGATTTTAATTTTCCATCATCTTGAACTCATCGCGCTGGCCTGACGTCGGTCTGAAGCAGTAGGATTAACAGCATTTCCCTCCTGTCCGTCGGGATCCACTTTATTTAGTGTGCACGTGTGTATGATGCGCTCTCACCGCCGAGACGAACGACGGTTCAGTCAGACAGGATTATATCATGGACGGTGTGTTGTTGCATTCTTCCTCTCTGCTGAACCCTTGTGGAGCGGATATGATACTACACACCGGGGAAGTAGTAATTTTGATCTCCGCCAGACTACGTTATCGTGCTATATTGCCCGAGGGAGGAAACTGAACAACTGGTGTTGCGAAGGATTTTGCATGGTCTGCACTACGGCTGGTTCCGTGTAGGTGGAGATTTCCTTTAACAAACAGCACGGTAAATATGCTCACCTCGGATGCAACTGTTCGGTACTGAGTGCTGATGTGTATTTGGCTCCGGATTGCTAAGGGAATATAAACCAGCATCAAACCAACTTCATTAGATATGTTTTAAGTGTAGCGTAAATCCTTTTTATAGGCAGCCTCGTGGACCTCTTGTAGGTACTATAGATAGGGTAAAGTGGTCTATTATGGACCCCTTAGTATATGTTTTAACGTTTTACCGATGACATCATATCTAGAACACTGCCAACTGCGCCAGAATCCAAGCGACAGATACAGTAGCGCTGCGCTTGAGCAACGCATAAAAAAATGAGCAAATACACAAAACTTTCTTCTGAGGATGTAATCTTTGCTATCAAATTCGTTCGAGGCGTTTACCTTTGAGCGGCAGATGACGCAATTGTATCTGTGTCATAGCGTTTGTGTGAGAAAATGGAAAAGTTTCCAGCCTTCTTGATTTGTTGTCTTCGCTTTTACGCTATATTAATGCACCCAATCAAATTTATCTTTCATCAAATGTTAGGTTCGATTTATTACATCTTCTGCATATGTTGCATACAACAAATGGATTGCACAAAATCTGCGTTACAAATTGCAGTTACTATTAACCTTTTATGGATTATCCGGGATCCATTACAGGATTGTTTACATCCCATGAAGGATCGTCTAGAATAAAAAATACATTAAACATAAGAATTTAGCTTATAATTAAGGTAGAAACAATAGATGGTGTTGAATGACATTTAATTCAGTCCAAAAACAGACTAAAATGCCTCATGCCTTTTGTCAAATTGTCATCTTAAACAATCTGTCCAGGAAACATTCAAATTTCAAACCCTAATTTGGACTCTTTGTTTAATTGGCAGCTCCTGCCGAGTTTTACATTAAACTGTATTTTCTCCATGTTTCAAATAGTATTTGACTAATGTTTTCCCTGTATCCGATGAAGATGAGCTGCCAAAGACGCCTTCCGATGGAATTTACTGGTAAATCTAACCATATTTTTTTAACTGTTCGTGGTCCTCTATGGAGAAACGGTCCATAAAATGCAAATTTACCCTAATTGTGTGCATATTTCAAATTTGGTTGGCGCTGTTGCCTCGTATGATGTTGATGATGATAAACCGCTCCTGTTCCAATGGTGAAGGATCGAGTAATTCCGAGAATTTGATAATGAAATTGAGTGTAAATCATAATGCTTTCAACCTACATACGTCATGACGCGGGCGTGGTTGGGGGAGGATGATGTTCTTTTGAAACGACTCCGTTTCTACTCTTCCATCCCGACACTTCTAATTGAAGAACTATATAGTATTCAATTTACGAAGCCCTGAAACCCCAAACTTGCCAACTAAAATATTACGTGAACAAATGGCCCGAAGCGAACCTTTGGTGGTTTCATTGTATAGTGGAAGAGTGTACAGCTCGGAAAATCTCATAACAACTTCAGGGAAGCGAGAAAATCAACTTCTCCTCTTGCTCTCCCGGTTTGTTGGAGTTTTCGTTCCTTTAGTGCGAGTAGCTACAGCGAGAGAGACAGGGAAAAGGTAGAAAAATATGCCACAAGGTTTATGTACAAAATCCAATTACATTAACTACATTTTGTTACTTTTCGCCGTTGTTGGTGCTTCGAAAGTGGAAGCAGGTTGGTTGCGAAGTCACCGACAGGGAACAAATGTCAGGGCTTTTAGCTTTCTGCTTGCTGACGTGTGGTTCTGACAGCTTCTTCGTCGCTCCCGGCTGTTTGACTTGTAATGGGTGGTGGTGGGTTTTCACCTAGCTTTGCTGGCTTTAATCTTGGTTGTTGTCGAAATTCTGCTTCTTTGTGTTCATACGGTCTGCCGTTTAAGAAATTTAGTTTCTGAAAATATTGCTACAACTTATTTATCCATTGCATTCGTTTTCTTTTTCGTTTCAGGTAATACTATCGGTGTAATAAGAATATCGAAACGATATGGTTCCGTAAGTAGCTCTCAGGGAGGATACAATTCTCATTTCATCGGCGTAACAAAATATACAAAGTTAAGTTCCTAACAATATGTGTGGCCGAACGAACAATCCGTAATGAATTACGTGGAGTTTAGAGTTAAGTGCTTGTTTTCAAATAGCTCATTTCAAGTGTAGACTTCTCTATTTTGAAAGACTGCCTAGAAAATCCATTGAAAAAATAAAACAAATATTGAATAATTCATGCTTCAAGAAGTATAACTAATACGAAAACTAAACAAAAATTTTAATTGAAATATGTTTACGGCATTTTAGACAATATGAGTTAAATTTTCCAGAACCCTTGACTCAACAAAATTTTAAAGCTTTGTTTAGCATAACCTTTCAGTACTCGCACCAACTTTTGTAACACAAACACTCACGCGATGTACAACAATATATTATGTTCACCTTGAAGGTATTTTTTGAAACCTGATCCTGATAGTCTCGAAAATATTCTTTAAGTATTGGTCTATTGCACATGGGTATTAAATTTCATGAAATACGTTTAGTTTCTCGTTGAGCGAGTTCGAAAGTCAGTAGGTGTTTACTTTATTTTTTCGTGTTTTACTTTGTACGAATACTTCAAGGTTAAACTAGCTGCACACATCAATGATTACTAATCAGTAACTGATCAAAATCAGTTTTTTGGGAACCGTGTTTACTTCTTCATCCCCAGAAAAATCACAGTAGGGAGATTTTGTCCGAATTTATACGTTCATTGGATCAGCAATCACCTTGAAAAGTGAAGTAATCATAGTTTTGAACTAAATACTAGACAACGATAAGGCAGTTAATGATATCACGATCTTCTGCTCAGTAAGTAAAAACGGTTGCCATTAGAACACTGAGCACCTCATATTACTGCAAATCTCTACGACACCTTGATTGTGTTCAAACTCGGTGACGAAGACAACGGTTTAACTGAAAATTAAAAATCAGTTGTAAAACGACAACACCGAATGCATTCATATCGAATTACGTATTCGGAACGATGTTTGGATGTTTGGTTTGGTTCCTATATTTAAGAGACTGTATTCAGAAGTTGCTTAGTTTAACGGCTTTCTCAGTCTTAAACACTTTAACGAGTACGATGTAGTCTGCCCGACGGGTTGTGGCCTTTTTAAAGAGACAATATTTTGCATTGAAAAAGGCCACAACCCATGGACGAATCGTCGGGTAGATTACATCGTAGTCGTTAAAGTGTTTAAGACTGAGAAAGCCGTTAAACTACTTTAATAATTTTAAGTGCCATATCCGAACGATATCCCATAAATAGTTTGCGTGATATCCTGAACACGTCGTTGAAGAAATTAACCATACAAATTTAATTCTTCGTCGCCCACTGGTCACCATACCCGGTCAAACTCCAGACGAATCTATAACCGTACTACCGTTGATTATTGACAGTAAACTTAGCTGGAATTTACATAGAGAGCAGGTTGTTAATAAGGCAATAAATGCTCTTTGGATAAGTAAGAAAACTTTTGGTAGGAAATAGGGCCTGAAACCAAAAATGATCCACTGGATTTATTTGACGATTTTAAGACCCGGAAAAATCGGCTCAGAAGAAGGTGGGAGACTGCAAACACTTTCTACTCTCTCAATAACTGGTGCGATGAACAGCACACTAGATGCTCTACTTTATCTGCTTCCGTTGCATAAATTTATCCAATTAGAAGCTGAAAGGAGTGCTTTAAGGGTTCAACGAACAAAGTCCTTCTTTGAAGGTGATCTTGGAGGACACCTTAGTATTTAAAAAATTTTTGATAATGATTCTCTCGCGTTAAAAAATGAAGACTGGATGGAGAAAAAATATAATTTCGATCGTTTATACAATGCAGCGGAATTTGATTGTAATGTTTGGGAAAGTGGGGGACCAAACAGCAGTCCAGGTTCAACTGTTTTTTTTATACAGACGGTTCAAGATTGAACAATCGTGTTTGAGCAGGGGTAACTGGTCCATGGATAGATATCTCAATATCAATGGGCTACTGGCCAACCGTGTCCCAACTATAAATTCAAGCAATTCTTGAATGCTCTGTTATATGCTTGCGCAGAAATTATAAACATTCGAATATATGCATTATGTCTGATAGTCAAGCAGCAATAAATGCTTTAAAATCAGCAACATTCAATTCAAAACTTGTATGGGAATGTGCAATGTCACTTCAGAAATTGGCCTGTCAAAACCAAGTTAACCTATATTGGGTTCCTGGCCACTGTGGAATTGAAGGGAATGAAAAAGCCGACACGTTGGCCAGGCAAGGACTAGAACCATTCTGTGGAGTTTATGCTTGTTCTCTTAAAATGGAGATCAAGAAATGGAAAAAAATGAAAGAGGAGACCAATTGGAACAACACTTCCATTGCTAGGCAGTCGAAAAGGTTCATAATTCCAAACATTTCAATGACTAGCCAAAATCTTGAATTATCAAAGAAAGATCTCAGTGTCTATACTGGTTTGATAACAGGACATTGTCCATGTTAATATCATTTGAAGTTAATAGGAAAACTTCAAGAGGATATGTGTCGATTCTGTGGCATAGAAAATGAAGACTCTGAACACCTGCTATGCTCTTGTGCAGCAATCTTTAATAAAAGGCGTATTTTTCTGGATAAGGGGCTGGCAGAACCATTTGATATTTGGAATGTTGGTTCCATTCAAGTAGTACATTTCATTTGAAATGTAATACCTGGCTGGGAAAATGCTTTTAGTCAGTCTATGTCGGTCGCTTCACAAAATAGTGATACGACATAACTGATAAAGCAATATAAAAACGGGGAATATCACAATAGATCAAAATAATGGTCGCAGTGATGAATATACCCAACACAAAAAAAAAACCGTTCATACTGGCGACAACGCTCTGATGAGACAACGAAACCTCACCCCAAGCTCTTCCCCTGATCCTATCCTTCAATAATGTACCTCTCTAACCTTGGGTAAGCCGCGAGTATTCGGCCCAATAGACATAGATATAAGTGAATTTTGTCAAAAACAATGAACAATTAACTAAGGCTCCGTAAAGCTAACGCGATTGAGCCTTCGAAATAAACAAACTAAATAAAAAATAATTGGGGTAAGCATTTCTCCTCAAGCAGGACTGTCATCTGATCACTCAATGTGCGCAATGTACTGATTTTTTTTAAATGACAGTTCTCGTGTTGCGCGAGTAATAAACAAAGTGAACATGAAACAGGCAGACAGAGAAGACAGACACACACCCAGAAATAACGAAAGCTCAATGTGTAGTCATCGCTCTGACGGCTCCGACGCAAAGAGCGCCACTCAGTGTAAAATTCTTCTTCGTTATGCTCTTCTTCATCTCCTATGTATGCAGTCGTGGTAAGCAAATTCTGCAATGAATTCAAAGAAAACATTAGCGCTTGTTGTATTATATTCACTCCCTGCACCGCACGGAGTGTACCGCTCATTGTGTGGATCGCTTTCCACAGATAAGTTGGAAAAGAGTGTGCGAAGGAAATGGGAGAACCACACACTCTTTATCGAGTGTTGTGAGATGCATGCACAAAGTTGATTTGCTAACGCTCTGAGGTGCTTTTCAGCCCTGCCCTCAAGTCCCAGTCGTCACCATTATTAATGTATTCAGCAGGAAAAACTTTTTAAATTAAATTCATAATTGAAGATCAAGTACAACTCTTGATAAATCTTCACATTTCGAAAAAGAAGTGTAAATTTCTATCACTATGATGCACATAAATGGAGCGCCACACAAGTTAACATTCTAGATCGTGTAAATTTATTAGAAATTTCATGAAATATTCAAAATATTGTATGCAACCATTCATCTGTGTAAGCAACATTTCTTGCAAGTTACTAGTTTACGTGAAAAAGAATTTAAATGCTTGAATTTTTGCATGCTGTGTTGTTCTTGATTTAGACTTGGATGAAAATCTCAAATATTTGGATTTTTTTCGAATCATTCATTCTGCAAAACTTTAAGGTATATCATATGCTTAATATATTAATTTATGCCGTCTTTTTATTTGTAATACTTATCAGAGGACTTCAAGGGTTTTTTCTTTGGTTTGTTTTCCGTCGATCTTGTTTTCCGTCGATCTTGTTTTCCGTGTACTGAGTACCAATGCTACCGATGCCAGGGAGGCAGCTCCCACAACTGGATCCTACCTATCAAAACTCCAAAAGTTAGTTAGGATTTTTTAAAAGTTCAGAGATCTTTCTAGATAAGTCTAGAAGAGTTTCCAATGCTGGAAACGACGATCGTAGACGGAGGATTGAGTTTGGCGACTGACTTTGGACTGAAAGAGCAATCGATCGTTCCTCCAGATCTTCAATTAGGAAATCGTCGTTGGAGATTTGCTGAAGCCAGGGAGGGCCGTGCCACCAGAGGTCAGTTTCCAACAGTTGAGTAGGCAGCATTCCACGCGAAATAATATCTGCGGGGTTTTCTAATCCGGAAACGTGTCCCCAAAGTCCATGTGTTGTCAGGTGCTGGATTTCAGAGACTCTGTTGGCTACAAATGTCTTCCAGCGTGAAGAAGTCGCTGCCAACCAATGTAGCACAATGGTTGAATCGACCCAAAAGAAGGATTTGAGGTTCAATTTCAGACTTTGTTGTACTTTCTGGAAGAGGTGGCTCAGTATCAATGCACCGGAGAGTTCATGGCGTGGAAGACTAAGTTTCTTCTGCTTCTTACTATTTCCCAGAGGAGCGACCTTCGAATTAGAAGTGAGGAGATGAACAGAGATTTCCCCACAGGAAGATACTGCACGTAAATAAATGCAGGCTCCGTACGCACGTAAAGAAGCGTCGCTGAAACCGTGTACTTCGAGAATGATAGGTTCGGAAATCGATATGACCCGCCGTGGAACAGTGATGGTTTCAACAGCTGCAAGTTCGCCCCTGAACTGCAGCCAGCGATGTTGCAGTTCTTCTTCGAACGGTTTTTCCCAGGTCTTCTTACTTTCTTAGAGGATTATTACTGTGGGCCAGAGCTCTCCTCGATCCAGCCTCGCAGCTTAACGTCATCTCCGAACGGCTGGTTCAGCGGTTACAAGTAAGGAAGATT